GGTGTCTCTTTCGACGTTGATCATACGACTCTTGTCTTACCGCGGGTTGCTTCCACATACTTCCGGTTCGAACTACTGTGATTTGTGATTGCGTTGCCTTTCTTCATGCCTGTGTGTGTTGTCGTGCGTGCACGTGTGTTGAATAAGAGCTTCGCCTGATCTTCACTTTGTTCGGTATAAGAGCCTCGCATTCCCCCGCATTCGCTCTAAGTTGTGGTGGGTGCCGTGGCTCACTCTGTATGTTGCCCGTTTAATTCGTTATCTAGTTCACATTTCGACGTTGAGCATACGACTCTTGTCTGACCGCGGGTTGTTCAAGCGTTTCTCGGAGAGTTTAGGCTTCCGCCTTCCTGATCGTTGGATCGGTGAGGTTTCGCCTGCCCCCGATGCGTCCGCCTCTTGCTACCGACTAGGCTGGAAAGCCTGCGCAGTCGACCGCAAAGACCGCCAAAAAACAACTTGTCTGACGGTTTACCGCTGGCTCCCAGTAGTGCGCCTGCGGTTTCTCCCAGCTGTGCAACTCGACTTCTCTTCGAGTCATTGCTGTGCAAACTCACGTTGCACTGGTGATGAGTGGGCCGCCTGGCGAGGCATTTGGCCGCCCAGATGGCGGCCGCGAGCTGTGCGTTCGCGGAGGTGCACCGTGGGTGCTGGCTTCTGGGCGACTCGAAGGGGCCCTGCTTGAAAGCCCAGACAGAAGGATGCGTTCTCGTTGCTAGCCGTGACACAAAAAGCCTAAGTTTGCTTGGAATGGTCCGTGGAGTTGAAGAGTTTGGAACCGTTCGTTGTTCCGTGAGTATGTGTTGTGATAGATAACGCTGCATTAATCAAATCAGTGAGACATGCCATATCCCGAATCGTGGCAGGCGCCCAAAAAGGAAACCAGAAAATGGCTCTGCACAGGCGATGATCACAGGGCGGTGGATTAAACGTTGGGCCCACGTTCGCCAACGGAGTGACCACTCCCTTGATGCTGGCAGTCGGGGGCTCCATCTAAGGCGTCTTTGTATTTCCGTCGTCTGATATGGTATCTGAGTCTCCTGGGAAGCTGCTCAGATGTGAATTCTGCGGGATTCGAAAGGAGTCCCCTCGCGCTAGGAAGCAGCTGGCCGTCCTCGCTGGCATCCACGTCCACGGCTTTCTCGGCGGACGCGGCAGCCGCCCTCGTTGCCCGGACGCCTATGTTTTTTTTTTTGGGGGGGGTAGAGGGCGGTTTGCACGGGCTGGTCGTTCTCGAAGGTCAGCTCACGAATGTGCCTGTCCGCGCGGTCCCCGCCAGCTCCTCTGCTGGCCCCTGCCTGCCTGCCCTGCCCTCCTCGGTATTTTGCTCGCAGCAGCTTGGGCTGTGCGTTTGGCTCATGATGGGCCGGTTTTCCCTGCTCTCTCTCTGCGACGGCGGAGCTGAGTTGGGAACCTTCTGGCGCGTCGCCTGACGCGGCCCCGCTGGCCCACTCAGTATCGTTCCCCGAACCCCATCCCCATCTTCATCCCCTTCGGGACCGGTTGGGGAACCACCCTTCGAAACCCGAAGGGAAAGGCCTATATCCTTATCTATCGGGGTAAGGCGGCCAGTGGGGCCCAGGCCACGCCGCTGTGGATGGGGGTCGGACAAACGATGCTCACCCACTGGGATCTAGCGCTTCTGCGACAGGCTCCGGCCTTGCGGCGGCACTGGCCTCTGCGGCCGTTGAGTCTGGCTGGGGTCCTGCCAGCGCCGCGCCTCGTGGTGCAGGGTGAGGCTGGTCCGGATCGCGGCCGCTTGGTTCTCGAGCATGAGCTTATACGGATCTCATCTTCGCAGGGTTGGCCTGCAGCGCTGCCAGGCAGGTGGGCGCATGGGCCTGGCGCTTGCTGATCTCCTGGTTCGGCGCGTGCTGGTCTCGCGCTCTCTGTCTTGAGCGTGCTCCTCGCCGGTGGCACACCCACCTGACGGGCAATGCCATGGTGCCGTCCTTGCCATCATCGTTCCGTCTCTCGATCTCATCGTTCGAGCCATTTTTTTTTCTTCTTCTTCTTCTTTCATTCTTTCATTTCGGCCTGCGTCACAAGCTGTTCGAAATGCGCGGGCAATCTGCCAGTCTTGGAAAGTTCTTCCTGAACGTGTTGCTGTTGACGCTGACATGGTTCTAGGAATATCATCGTGTGCTTCTGCCTCGACTATTTGGGCATCTTCAACCTTCATCTTTGTCTGATCCGCGTACTGAGCCTGATGTGATAGTCTTTCGTCGGGGGGGGAGGCGGGCGTGTATCTCCTGGTGCAGGCCGACCGCGAATTCCTGCTCCCCCTCCTAGATGCGTGAGTTCTTGAGTCCGATGTTGTGAGCAATGGTGACTTGTCGTTCGATGGCTTTTTGAGCTCCTGGCGATGGACAGGAAACTCCTGCGACTTCGTGGGCATTGGAATCCACGGCCCATGTGACGGTGCGATCTCGGGGAGGGCGTGGCCGATGATGAAGGTGAGCGGGGTCTGGTCCTGGTCCTGTGTGCCAATCTGTTTCGCGCCGCGTTGGTCTGGAAAGGGTACGCGTGTTGGATTTCCACGGCCTGTGTCCTTTCCTTGTCATCTCATCGGCATATCCGAGACGTCGCCAGGTCGAAGTGGCGGCGCTTCCTGACTTGAGCTCCCGGGGACCTGCAGCGCGTGCGGAACGTCAGGGCACGGTGGGATCAGCGCTGTGACAACAGGGGCGCCCTCGAGGGCGCGTAGGTCTTCGCGCTTCGCGGTTCGGCTCCGATTCCTCCTCATCCTCCTCGTCACCCCTGGGGGGCGGCGCAAGAGTGCGAAGTTCATTCGCGCTTCGCGCTTCGCGCAGCGCGCAGCGCGGAGCGCGAAGTTAGGCGCCTTCGGAGAAGCTGCGAGTCTCTGGGCAGCGGTTGTCCATCCTGGTAGAACTCCGCCAGGGGCACGCTGTGCGAACTGGCGTGTGTGCCACGCCTGCCCAGCGCTTGCGACAGGCAGCAGGCGAGTTTCGGACGATCTGGCCTATGGTCGAGTCGAGGCTGGCCCCTTCATGTGGCTCACTTCTCGTCTTCCTCCTTCCTCGCCCGCGCTTCCTCTGCCTCCTTCTCCCTTCCCTCGGCGTTATACGCCTCAGTCCTGTGCGCTGGGCGAGGAAGTAAACTGCGTTCAAGTACAGCCTCCCGGTCGCCCGATCACCCCGCGCCTGTGCTGGCAAGTGCGCAACGTGCCGTGAGAGTGTGGGGCAGCGTGCTCGGGGCCTGTGGCCCAGCAGGCGCGCCGTGGCGGGCTGCGCCCACTCGCCGGGACGGGTCAGTGGCCTTGCAAGGATGGAGGGGCGGCGAACTCAAGGTGGGAACCGAGGTCGGGCGGGCCCTCTTAGACGGCTCGGAAGGTCTCGGGCCTCAAAAAAACCTTCCCGAACACGCAGACATCTTTCCAGAAGGCGCAGGTGTTGGGAGAAGCCCCGCCGCCTTCTGACAAGGCCTGCCCCTTCTCACTTCTCCGTTGGGTTCGCCGCCGAGAGGATGTGGACGATGGGCATGGGAAAAATGGGCACACTGCCCACCAGCAAGGATTATCCCAAACCGAGAGCGGCCGCTGCCAGGCAGGCGACCCTTTGTCTCAAAGGGACCACGCCCGTGGCGGCACCGACAGCGAGCCCTTTTCAAAATGGGAAGAGGCTGCTGATGGTCTTTGTGCCCACTCTTTCCCGTACCCATGCCGATCGCACCGAGAGGAAAGGGGAGGGATTGACCATCCGCTTCGTGTGGAATCCCCTCCAGGCCATCGAGCTCTTCCTCCTCCTCCTCCTCCTCCTCTTCCTCCTCTTCCTCCGCTTCCTCTTGGCGACGCGCAGAAAAAAAAGGATATGGGTGAGAGTGGAAGGCGTCTTAGGAAGAAGTTGCTCCTCAGAAGGCGCCGGTCTTACATCCGCTCGGCGGCGGCGGGGAGGAGGAGGAGGATGTGGAGGAGGAGGAGGAGGAGGAGGAGGAGGAGGTGGAGGAGGAGGAAGAGGAGGAGGAGGACGCGGGGACGCGTTGCGAGACACTGTCGCTTCGTCGCCCGCGGCCGCGGGCGGCGGGCCCCCGCGCGGCCCGCGGGCCCAGGCCGCCCCCCAGGCCTCGTCGGTGGACTTCCGGTGGTCCATCTCCACGAGGGCGAGGCCAAGGGCGGCGGCCCAGCGCATCCGACCGCGCTGCCGACAGCGGTCGGGGCACACGTCGACTCGCTGAGGAGGAGGGGGAGGAGGAGGAGGAGGAGGAGGAGGAGGAGGAGGAGGAGGAAGAGGAGGAAGAGGAGGAGGGGGAGGAGGACAAGCTAGGTGCGCTCGCGTCATATCTGACGTCCTACCCCTCCCTCCCATCCCTTACCATGGCGCTGATTTTCTCTATCCGCGGACGCGTGTCGTAGCGGACCTGTGGCTCCGCGCGCGCGTGCGTAGTGGGTGGTGGTGCGCGTGCGTGCGTGCGTGCGTGCGTGTGTGCGTGGTTGTGGTGGTGGTGGTGGTGGTGGTGGTGGTGGTGGTGGTGCTGGTGCTGGTGCTGGTGGGTGGTGGTGTGTGGTGGTGCTGGTGGTGGTTGTGATGTGGTGGTGGTGGTGGTGGTGGTGGTGGTGGTGGTGCGGCGCGGTGGTGGCGGGCGGATGGGCGCGCGAGAAAGAGGCCCGCGCGGGGGCGAGAACGCCATCCTGAACGACGGAGGCCAAACACCGATCCGAAAATGAGGCCCACGCTGCAGCGGGAGCACGATTCGGAACGATTCGGGAACAGAACTGAGGCCGGCGCCTCAGCGAGAGCATCATTTTGCCCGAAAATGACGCCCGCGCCTCAGCGAGAGTCGTTTCCCGGGATTTCCCGGGGATCCTGTGTATAAAAAAACAGTACGCGGAGGGTGCGCGGCCATCACCCGGACGCCATCAGGGGAAGAGGGAGAGTAAATTCATATTGAGTAATTGTGGAGGAGGAAAAGCGCCGCCGCCCGCCGCCGCCGTTGCCGGCGCTCGGTGGCGGCGGAGGGCAGTGCGCGCGCTGCCTCCCGCCAGTGCTCCGCGCGGGGGTCGGCCGCGGTCCTGCCTCCCGGGGCGGGGGCGCGCCATGAGGAAGGCCTCCTGCGCGTGCTCGCCCTGTCCTGTCCTGGGGTCGCCACCCTCGTTGTCCTCCCCTTGCCCTCCCCACCCCCATCCCTCCTTCTCCTCCTGCCTCCTCCTCCTCCTCCTCCTCCTCCTCCTCTTCCTTCCCTCTCCTCGTCCTCCTGTCTTCTCGTCCCCCTCCTCTTCCTTCTCCCCTCCCTTTGTCATCCTGTCTCCTCCTCTTTCTCCTCCTCCTCCTCCTTTTCCTCCTCCTCATTCTTATCCTCTCCTTCTCCTCCTTCATTCCCCTTGTCTTGCAGTCCCGTCTCCTGTGTCTGCTGCTCCTTCTCCTCTTCTTCTTCCTCCACCTCCTCGCCCCTCGTCTTCCTGTCCACGGCGCATACGCGTGGACACTGGCTGAGCCTCTCAGACACCAGCTACGCCGCACACAACGACGGATGGTGCTGGCAATCGTCGCAGCACGGAGACGTCGCTTTGCGACGTTCTACGAATGCACTCTACCCCAACGACTGACAACCGCAGCGACCCTTACTCCAGCAGTGATTGCCCCGTCGCCCCAACGACTCCAGGGACCAGAACGCATCCAGCAATCCGCCTGCCCCGTCAGCGTTGGCCAACACACCTGAAGACATGAGCGACGTATTCCATCATACAGAGCCGAGGAATTCATGGGTATGCACTGCATCCATGACGTGGAACACATACATCGCACACGGATGGACGCCATGCCAGAGTGTCCGACAACATGGTGGCCAGCCCAAACGGGTGGATGGCGACTTGTGCAAGATCCTACAGAGCCTGCTGACAAGCACTGTCGAGTAGACCACGCAGAATGACCCAAGCCAAGCCATCCACGACGATATCGTCATTACGACATTAAGGATGTGAATGTGCAGACTCCCGCGCCTGGAATACCAACGCCTTTAGAAGCCCCGACTGCCAGCACCGACTACCGACCACCACCGACTGCCAGCTCCGGCATTAACTGAACAGCACCACCAGCACCAAACACCGGCCGCCGCCAGAACACTGAGCACGCCGACCAAGTCCTGATCTGTACCGTGCGATGCTTCCTCCATGCCTTCCGCTTGCAAGGATTTGTGCGCCTGTTCTTCCTTCCCTCCCGTTTCTGGCGTGCTGGCTCGTGCACCACAGCCGGGACGCTGAAATCAGCGGGCGAAGAACGGTATGACATAAACTTTTCCGCCGTCGGGGACGCCTGCCCCTTGGCGGCTGGAAAGTTCATACCCCTACGGTGGCACCGTAAGGGTATAAACTTTCCGGCCGCCTTGGGACAGGCGCCCGCGACAGCGAAAAAGTTTATTTCATACCGTTCTTCGCCCGTTAATGAAATGAGGACCACTGGGCTCAGGAAGGGCCCTAATCCTCCGGCCGCCCCTCCGTCCCAGGCCGGGGAAGCCATTCGTGGCCGAGGGTCGCCGTGGCCAGGTGAGCTCCTTCGCATCTCCTTCGGCGCCCCTCCGTGCAGCGCGGCGGCTGCACTGCAGCCGCGCCTTCCGTTGGAGCACGGCGTGCGGCCACGGCCTCCGCGCGCCCTGCCGGAAGCGGCACGGACACATCCACTCGTGCCCGGCGCTGGCGCTGCTCGCTTGCTCGCTCCACGTCTCCTCCTCCTCCTCCTCCGCCTCCTCCGTCCTCCTCCTCCGTCATTCTGCTTCGCCTTCTGTCTTCTGGCTTATGCTTCATCTCCTGTCTCCTGTCTCCTCATCCGTCCTCCTCTCTCCTCCTCGTCCTCTTTGTGCTCCTCTCCCTCCTCGCATGCTGCCGCTGCCGCTCTTGATCCTTCTCGTCCTCTCCTCGCCCTCCTCTCCTCTCCCTCCCTGGACGGACAATGAAGGAAGGAAGGGAGGAAGGAAGGGAAGGAAGGATCAAGGAGTGGTGATGATACGTAGTCGTGAGACGTCAACCATCCCCCTGATCCGATCCAGGCGAGGTCAATCCTGGGCCTGGGATCGGCTAATTAAAGGCGTACCTGGGCCCGAAGCCTCCAGGAGCGCTTGACAGCTCCCCATAGCCACCTCCGACCTCCGAAGGCCTGCAAGAGTGCCGGAACAGTTCCTGCACACGGGCGACGGCCTTCGAACGCCTCCGATGATTCCCGAATACCTTCAGTAACCCAAAACAAGTTCCGAAGACCTCAGAACTCCTCCAACGACTACGAACAAGCCTTTGAACACCTTCGACTACTTTCAGTCATTTCGCAAGAGCTTCTGACACCCTCCGCAGGCAACTGCAAACCTCGAAGAACGTCAACCAACGTCCTGAACCGATCCGAGACTTCGACGAATGCTCTATAAGCCTCCGAAGGCGCCCCCAAGTACCTCCGAAGACCTGTTGATCACATGTCGAATCATGTCTGCCGGCGTGGACCCAAACAGGAAGTTGTGGTACTGTGGATGTGTCTAAGCTGTGTGATGCGCAAGCGTCTCCGCGGTCGTTTTTTTCGACGAGCATATCTACAGTGCCGTTTTTAATACATGCTCCGCGTGCGGATCATGTATTGAACATGCAGGGGTTTAGTATTAAAAACAACGATGAGTCCATGCGTAAATGGATTCGTGCATTAATCATGTATTAGCAATCCCCTACATTTAAACATCCCAAATATTGAAACCTGCCCTGTACATCCTCGGGACATCCCCACGGGCGGCAGCGGGCGGCAGCGGGCCGGGCCGGGGCGAAACCTCCAGACACCCCCGCGGCAAAGGCCGGCCACTGGCCAGACCGTGGCGACCCCTCGGGACCCCCACGGGCGGCAGCGGCCGGCAGCGGGCGGAAGCGGGCCCGAGCGTGGCGGATCCTCGGGATACCCATCCAATGCCTCAGAAACGCAAGTAAGAGCCCATTCGCGCAAGCACCACTGGGGGCCATCGGAAGAGACCTTCTGAAAGCTTCTGAACACCTCCGAGGACCCCCGAAGACGTCCGTGACCTCCCAGAAGCCTTCCGAAGACTTCTGAATGCCATGGGGCACTCGGACCCCCGACGTCGTGAATCTTTTCCCAGGACTAGTTTTCATTTCGAGTCGTTTTGAGGGTCAGGTACCTCCCAGAGGCAGAAAATTGCTACCGCTGCTTTTTCCGGACGTGAGGGGGTGGAGGGGGACCAGCTGGGCGACAAGGAGCTTCTGGCGGCCCGAACAGGCTCCCAAATCTTTCACAGACATGGGTACTCGAAGCTCGACCCTCGAACCTCGATCCTCGATCCTCCATCCTCCCTCCTCGAAGACTTCTGAGGACCGCGGTCGTTCTGCCGCCCTCACGGCCGCTGCCGCCGTGGCCGCGGCCGTGGCCGTGGCCGTGGCCGCCGTCGCTGCCGTGGTCGTGGCTGTGGGTGTGGCCGTTGCCGTGGGCTTGGCCGTGGCCGTGGCCGTGGCCGTGGCTGTGGGCGTGGCCGTGGGCTTGGGCCGTGGCCTTGGGCGTGGCCGCGGCCGTGGCCTCCTTCGGAGGCGGCGGCGGCCGTGGGGGTCCTGCCAGGCTGGGCAGCTGCGCAGGCCCGCTCGGGGGCCTCGGGTCTTGCTCGTCGCTGACGTGGTCGACGTCGTCGTCGTCGTCGTCGTCGTCGTCGTCGTCGTCGTCGTCGCTGCTGACGTCGTCGTTGTCGTCGTCATCGCTGCTGACATCGTCGAAGTCGTCGCCGTCACTGTCGTCGTCGCTATCGCTCTCGCAGAGCCGTCGTTGTCGCCGTCGCTGTCGTCGCAGTTGCCGTCGCCGTCGCCGTCGCCGTCGGACGAAAGAGGTGGTTACGAAAGGCGGTCGAGGTCTGAGGCTTTTGTGCATTCTCCTAGGTTCTCGACAGTTTTCCAGCCTCGGGATGCTCTGTAGCAGCTGCGCCTCTCCGAGACCGATCTGGTGGTGCCTGGATCGTTTCGGACGGGCGCGGGGGACCAGGGATATGACCTGAAAATCGGGGGCGGCCGAAGGGGGCGATGACGGGGGTGGGGTGGACGTAATGGCCAGGGCAATGAGATCTCCCCAGATTTCATGGCGCCTCCTCTTACGTCAGTGCGTCCCAGTTCCCCCACCCTGGGCCGCGCACATGTCTCCGGCCATGATTTTCGAACCCCCTTCCTGGACGCCCCCCTTTGGACCTCCCCGAGAAAGCCAGACGACGAGGATCATGCGGGTCGGGCGTACGGGGGAGGAGGAGGAGGAGGAGGAGGAGGAGGAGGAGGAGCAGGAGGAGGAGGAGGATGAGGAGGAAGAGGACGAGGAGGAGGAGGGAGGAGGAGGAGCACGATGAGGAGGAATGGAGGTGGAGGAGGAGGAGGAGGAGGAGCAGGAGGAGGAGCAGGAGGAGGGGAAGGAGGAGGAGAAGGAGGAGGAGGAGGAGGAGGAGGAGGAGGAGGAGGAGGAGTAAGAGGAGGAGGAGGAGGAGGAGGAAATGGAGGAGGAGGAGGAAGAGGAGGAGGAGGAGAAGCAGGAGCATGAGCAGGAGGAGGAGGAGGAGGAGCATGATGATGATGATGATGATGATGATGATGATGATGATGATGATGATGATGATGATGATGATGATGATGATGATGATAA